TCAAACCTGTATGTTTAAATAAATACATTTTTTTAAACCTCAAATCGGTGTATTTTTTTTGTTGAACTATTCGAGTAATATTTATGTTCGATCGAATTGTTTGCAAGAACATTTACACAATGTATTTTTTTAGTCTCTGTTATCGATTTGAGTGACTGAAAGATTGTTTCTAATTGTTTTTTAGCATTATCGATTTGATACTGATTGATCACATATAATTCTATATTATTTGTTTTTGATCGGCCGATATTAATAAAATCGGTTGCTGATGTACATATTTGTCCACTTAAAATGGATCGATATACAAGTCGTTTTATTGATCCACCAATACCATCGGCAACACCTTTGCTATGGCTTGTTGCAAAAAAATGCCACGACAATTGTATCTAAAGTGAAATTGAAAAGTCGACTACTCTGAAAAAAAATAAGGTCTCATATGGAACTATTTATGGTTCTAGCCAAGATACTGAACCTTTTAAGATTTCATTCGTTCATTAATGAGCCATCGACGGTTTTAGCTAGTTTAAAGAACCATCTCAGATCCTCAATAGTTCCGGATATTTGAAAAGGCTCCGTCCTGCGCCATTTTTTTTAACGCTGAGCCATTTTCCCAAAGATTGTTCTGGCTTGAAGCAAGATAATGTATTTGCGGAGCGTGCTTTAAGTAATATAAACCTCAAATAGATTATCGAAGTGAAGGGCTCCGAATCCGTCATCATTTTTTTGATTCGAGCTCCCATTGGTCAGAAATTGGGTCCACCAAAAATTCAGTAGCTGTAAAATTAGACATTTTATTTCACCTCCGATTTCAATTCTGATCGAAGTTTGAAATAGGTTATCGAGATCCAGAAATCTGAATCCAGCATCATTGATACCGAGCCTGAGGATCCGAGTTGGATTGATAGATATGAGTAGGTGCGTCTTAATAATCAATTCTATGGTACGTTATAACTTATAAAATGCGCTTATTATTTTATCTATTTCCATATATCACAATTATCAATTGAAATGCAAGTTCACTATGATAAAATGATTTCATATTTTTTTCTATTTAGGTATATGTGAATAATTGATCTCATGGTAAGTTCAATCTTACAGTATCAATCACTCTTCTTGTTTTTGTTTAGGATCGTCTCAACAACAACTGGCGCGCGATTTCCCTTTCGTGCAAATAAAGGAGAAAGGGCTGGCTTGTTTTCTGCTCACAACAAATCCAGGTAAATATAACGCATATGATTTAGCGGTTTAGCATAGAAATGAGGGTTAAGGATAGCAATACTGGTAAAGGATAGACATAGTGGTTAAGGATAGTATTAAGGGTTAAGGATAGAATTAAGGGTTAAGGTTAGAATTGAGGTTAAGGATAGAAATAAGGGTGAGGGTTAGGAATAAGGGATTAAGTATGAAATTAACGGTTGGATAAAACATTAGTCTAGAGTACTAGACTAATTGAGTGTGGTGGACTATATTTTACTACCATAGAACCATTTTCGGAAGAAATAGGAAAAAGTTTCAGCTTGAACCAGATTTTGTTTGAACCTTTAATGGTTCTGAAAATGGTACCCAAATCTAGAACCCTAAAAGGTTCAGTATGGCACCTTTTTTTCTTTCTGAGTATCAGGGGTGTAAGTCAGGTCTCAGAGTAGGGAAGGGGGGGGGGGGGGGTAAGTGTTTTTTTTGTTTGTAGT